AAAGCAAGCCACCAGGTCTGGGATTTGAACCCCAATTGGTCATGTAGAAGTCCAGCGCTTTACTTGCCATGCCACCTGCTTCTCCAACAGTTTTATTTTTAATGTTTTGTGCCTTTAGAGGTTGTAGACTACCAAAAGTTTTTGTCTTTTACCCTTGAAGAAATTGCCTAGAAAAGTTTTCTAAATCTTCCTGATTTCCATCCTCCATTGGAAAACAAACTTTAATGCCTGCAATAAATCAAGTAAGGTGAATAATGAAAACATAATTTATTTTTAAGGAGTGAATCACTCTCCTTAGGCTTATGAGTTCATTATATGGAAACAAAAACTCCTAGAGTCTTTACATTGCCAAGCTATATTTAAATGGTGCCCTTTGATTGTCTTTCCCAAGATGAATAGTTTAGACAGGGCAGTGAAGATTTATGGAAAATGGAGCAAGTGGGAAATTAGTCTTTCATGCTAAGACTTAGGAGAGAAATGACTTTTTCTTATGTTTGTTTCCAGAAAACAGAATGGAAATTCAGCTTTTAAGATTTGCGTACAGTTGGGCTTCATTATTAGTTGAACAGTGTCTCAGAAACTCCCTCTCCCTGCATGACAAGTCATAATGTAAACACAGTGCATCATTTCATTTTGTATAAACTTGATACATAGGACAGTCATTCCCACACTAGTGAAAAGACTTCTGGAATTGTTTTGGAACTGAGTGTTAAGTACCCTACAAATGTGCTTAGCAGCTTGAGAGATGATCACCAGCACTCCCTCATGTTTGTATTTGTTTCTTCACTTGTCTACTTCTTTTCCCTTTGTTCCGTTCACTCCTGGATCCCCAGCACCTAGAATAGCATCTGGCACAAAGATGGCCCTCAGTCAGCATTCATTGAATGAATTAATTCATTCATTCTTACACTGTAATTGTTTTCACATCCACTTCCAAGCTCCCCCTCTGTTTTAAAATGTCAATGGCCTAGCTTCTAGTTAACACTACTTCAGGTCCTTTTCCTAACAAGCAGCCTTGTTTGTTATAAAATTTTGGACTGTTTTCCCATCTCTTGCTTTTTTGGTTTGCAGCATTTACAGTAATTCCATAACTTTGTGCCCTACTCTCTCTTAGACACTCATCTGTCCTAATCTTACCTCTGCTATGAATCTGAGCTTGGAGCTGTCAGCATTTAAAAGAAATTCAACCTGGGACCGGCCGATGGCGTAATGGTTATGTCACTGGATTCTCACATAGTTGACCATGGTTTGAGTCCCAGACCTGGTGGCAGGGTGCATATGCATGCGTGCCCAAGATCCTGAGAGGAGAATGGAGGAGAAGGGATTGCCACATGGCCATGTCCCTGGGGGGCGGAGGGTGATTTCTCGGTTTCTGTCTCTCTCTGTCTCTCTGGCGAGCACATATGCCCTATAACAAAAATCTTTCTTAAAAAAAAAAATTGGGACCAGCAGTTAGTATAATGGCTATGTCGCTGAACTCCCATGTAGCCGACCACGGTTCGCGTCCCGGACCCGGTGGCTTAAAGCTCACGCCAGGCACATGTGTGTGTGTGCCCAAGATCCCGAGAGGAGAATAGAGAAGAAGGGATTGTGCCGTGGCCATCCCCCCTGGGGGGTGATTTCTTGCTTTCTATCCCTCTGTCTCTCTCTGTCTGTCTGGCGAGCACACGCGCCCTATAGCAAAAATCTCTTCAAAAATAAAAATAAAAATAAAATAATTAAGTGCTAGCTAGCACTCACCAGGAGCAAGTAGAGCTTCACCTTTTGTAAGTCAGTCCAGGAGTAAATCCTAGCCATCGTCTCTCTCTATGTCTATCTGTCTATCTGTCATCACAGGGGGATGAGCAAACACCCAAACCTGGGCACACAGATCCTTGCCAACACAGGCACAGCTGTCCTGGTGGCTGGATCTTGAATCCAGGGTCTGGAACTCAGCTTTAGAAGGATAAAGACTCAGGGATGAGTGGGACGTCGCCGGTTCCTGACCCACTACCCTTCCAGGTGTAGGGACGTCTCTACGGCCTCGCTGTGAGTGACCACTCAGCCTCAGCTTGAGCACTCTGGTGTCTGCGAGTTGACTGCTCTTTGGGGTTGTCCATTTTGACTTGGGAGGAGCTCTGAGCCTGCTGCTCCATGACTTCTGCCTGCTAGTGTTGCCCTGTGGGGCCACGCTGAGTTAGGTCACTCTCTTAATTCCACGGCAGTCTTTCATGTCCACGAGGAGAGTGCGTGGACTCCCCCCTCCTTTCCCTGGCTCTTCACCCACAGCTCCTTCAACAGATGCTCAGATGTGCTGGCTCTGGTTCTCCTCCCCGTTCTCTAGAACCCCTTTGCCGGCCTTGACGTTCAGAGTGGAAGTCGCAGTATGGGTGTGAGTGTTCCGGGCCCCCTACCTAGGCAGTTGTGGACCTGACTTGGCTCTGTGAGATCATTTTAAGCATGTATCCACGGCTTAATGGCCCCATCCCCTCGCATGTCGGAAAGGAGTACCCGCTCTCCAGGGTTACTTCTTCTCTTTCCCGCTGTTCTGCTGGGTCGTTGGGGGAAGCCCTGATGCATTTTGGCACAGGAAAACATCATGACTTTCTAGACGACCGAAGAGATACTGAGTCAAGTCGTCGATGCCAGAGTACAACAGGTCGGGGCTTGGATGGGCGTGAATAGTGAAAAATCAAGCCCTGTGAGCGGAAACGAGCTGGGCTTTTCCCTCAGAGTGAACGGGTGGGGTGGGGTGGGGCAGGGGCTGGGGAGGAATCCGAGGCCAGGCGGGAAGGCCGGGTGAGTCCGGGTTGCGGGCCAGCTCCAGACCTAGGCGTCTGGGGGCACAGGAAAGTCAGAGCCAGCCCCACTGGTCAGTTCATGCCTTCTGCCATCATTTGAAATTCCTTCCTCTGACTCAGGAGTTTTGCTCATAAAAAGAGACACTACATTAACCCTCAAAGCACGTTCCTCGGAGTCTGAGACTGGGCCTTTAAGCACAGAACCTCAGTTTCCCTGCTTCCTGCGGCCCCATAAAATGATGCAGTTGTACGGCCAGCAGTACCTTCTGACCCCATGAGAAGTGATAGCCCGCTTTGGACCTTGGGTGGGAATTGGAGACTTTCACGTATACCAGACTCCCTTAGCCCTTTGACAAAGCATGCTTAGATCAGAGGCGCTCTGAGGCCTGCCTGCCTTCGGGAGCCCATGGGCCACGTCATGACTAGGCCTGGGGCAATGGCACCCACTTGCACAGCACTGCGCAGGCTGCCCTCAGCACGCTTCCCTTCGCTCCTTGGAACAGCCCGAGCACGGCTGCGGTCTTCCTGCCTACGTAACAGATGGGGGAGCAGGACCCTCGAGGCCTCAAGCTGCATTCAACGTCAAACTCAAGGGACCTCCCAAGTAGTTGACCGCGGTTCGAGTCTCAGACTCGGTGGCTTGGAGGAGAAGGGATTGCGGCGTGGCCATCCCCTCTAGGGGGTGATTTCTCGCTTTCTGTCTCTCTGTCTGTGTCTGTCTGGCGAGCGCATGTGCCCTATAGCAAAAACCTCTCCAAAAATAAACAAAAACAAAACTCAAGACTCATGCAAGTCAAACGTTAGTTACTGGTCAAATATTCCTGGGAGGACCAGCTCCCATGCTCCACGTCGCTACGCTATGCACACGCGCGCCTGCTTTTATGTATTTGTCACCGGCAGCCGTGCCGTCCAACACCAACACCAGCTTTCGTGATTTGGCTCCCTTCCCGGATTAGCGCCAAGCCTGAGGAAGTCTTTAGTCCAAAGTACATCCTAAGTCTTCTGGAACCTGACCCAATATTTCTCTTCTTTCTTTCTTTCTCTCTCTCTCGCTCTTTCTCTTTTTTCTTTTTCTCTCTTTCTCTTTTTCTCTCTTTCTTTTCTTCTTCTTTTTTTTTTTTTTTTAAAGAGAGATTTCTGCTATAGGGCGCATGAGCTTGCCAGAGAGACAGAGAGAGACAGAGAGACAGAAAGCGAGAAATCATCCCCCAGGGGGGATGGCGATGCCGCAATCCCTTCTCCTCCATTCTCCTCTCGGGATCTTGGGCACGCACGCACACATACCTGGCATGAGTTTTAAGTCACCGGGTCCGGGACTCAAACCACAGTCGATTACATGGGAGTCCAGTCACGTAACCGTTAAGCCAACTGGTGGTCCCCACAATGTCTCTTTCTGGAAACTGGGACTTGTACCCACAAGCAGGCTTGGGCCATAGCAGCCTGCCAGAGAGGCAGGCCATGGGCAATTTTCTTTTATTGGGAAGGTGGTTTAAATTAACCTAGGTGAAGCAGCTGTGAAAGGGTTAACAAAGTGTCAGGTGTTGGTGATGATGGGCAGGGCAGGGCAGGGCAGGGCAGGGCAGGGCAGGGAGAGGAAGAGCCGAGCTTCCCTGTCTTCCCCAGCAGACCAGCAGTGTGGGCCTTACTGCTGGCTGCTGATGGTGGCCTTAGCATCTCCCCGCAGTCAGGCCTGTATATCGTTCTCATTTTCTCTCTGGGCTTTCTGTCAAGGCCACGTTTAACCAGCGTGTTCAGGTGCTGTGAGGGACACAGATAGATTCGGTACAGTTCCTGCCTATAGGAACCTGTCAGGGTGGAAGATGAGCTTACTGACGGAGACAGAGCACAGGGAATGCCATACAGGCTGCTGTGGCATGGGCGAGGGGCCTCCTGCATGGGAGCGTAACTACTGAGGACTCAAGGAATCAGGAAGAGCTTCCTGAAGGTGACTGTGTTTGAGTGAGACTTGGGAGTACGGGAAAGACTGGGACAAGGACGAAGGGCACTTTAGGTGGGGGGACTTGCTTGAGCAAAGAAGGCACAGGAGTAGGGACGTATAGAAGATGGTGATGAGGCTTGCCAGAGCAGAGGAGCATGAGTTGGGTACTTGACGATGGCTCTCAAAGCCACGCTGGTGTGGGCACTGAAGGTCGATGGTAGCTGAAAGTTAGCCATGTCTCGGTGAGGCGGTCCTGACTAACGTGTTCTCTCTCTCTGCAGAGGCCATGCCATTGAAACACTATCTCCTTTTGCTGGTGGGCTGCCAAGCCTGGGGTGTAGGGTTGGCCTACTATGGCTGCCCTAGCGAGTGTACCTGCTCCAGGGCCTCCCAGGTGGAGTGCACTGGGGCTCGCATTGTGGCAGTGCCCACCCCTCTGCCCTGGAATGCCATGAGCCTGCAGATCCTCAACACACACATCAAGGAACTCAATGATTCCCCATTCCTCAACATCTCGGCCCTCATTGCCCTGAGAATCGAGAAAAATGAGCTGTCGCACATCGTACCTGGTGCCTTCCGTCACTTGGGCTCTCTGCGCTACCTTAGTCTCGCCAACAATAAGCTTCAAGTTCTGCCTGTTGGCCTCTTCCAGGGCCTGGACAACCTTGAGTCACTCCTGCTGTCCAGTAACCAGCTGATGCAGATCCAGCCTGCCCATTTCTCCCAGTGCAGCAACCTTAAAGAATTGCAATTGCATGGCAACCATCTTGAATACATTCCCGATGGTGTCTTTGACCACTTGGTGGGCCTCACTAAGCTTAATCTGGGCAAGAATAGCCTCACCTACCTCTCACCCAGGGCCTTCCAGCACCTGGGCAACCTCCAGGTCCTCCGGCTATATGAGAACAGGCTCTCAGATATCCCCATGGGCACTTTTGATGGACTTGGTAACCTCCAGGAACTGGCCCTCCAGCAGAACCAGATTAGTACGCTCTCCCCCGGCCTCTTCCACAACAACCGTAACCTGCAGAAACTCTATCTGTCCAACAATCAGATCTCCCAGCTGCCGCCCGGCATCTTCATGCAGCTGCCCCAGCTCGACCGTCTCACACTCTTTGGAAATTCCCTGAAGGAGCTCTCTCCAGGGATCTTCGGGCCCATGCACAACCTGCGAGAGCTTTGGCTCTACGACAACCATATCACTTCTCTATCTGACAACACCTTCATCAACCTCCCTCAGCTGCAGGTCCTGATCCTTAGCCGCAATCAGCTCAGATTTATTTCCCCGGGGGCCTTCAATGGTCTGACAGACCTCCGGGAACTGTCCCTCCACACCAACGCACTGCAGGACCTGGATGGGAATGTGTTCCGCATGCTGGCCAACCTGCAGAACATCTCCTTGCAGAACAACCGCCTCAGACAGCTCCCAGGGAATCTCTTCGCCAATGTCAATGGCCTCATGACCATCCAGCTGCAGAACAACCAGCTGGAGAACCTGCCTATCGGCATCTTCGACCACCTGGGGAACCTGTGTGAGCTGCGGCTCTATGATAACCCCTGGAGGTGTGACTCAGGCATCCTCCCGCTCCGCAACTGGCTGCTGCTCAACAAGCTCCGACTAGGGACAGACACCCTCCCCGTGTGTTTCAGTCCAGCCAATGTCCGAGGCCAGTCCCTCATCATCATCAACGTTGATGGCGCTGTCCCCAGTGTCCAGGTTCCAGCGGTTCCCGAGGTGCCCAGCTACCCAGAAACGCCACAGTACCCAGACACATCAAAGTACCCAGACACACCCACCTACCCTGACACCACGTCTGTCTCTTCTACTACTGAGCTCACAAGCTCTGTGGAAGACTACACCGATCTGACCACCATTGGGGCCTCTGATGACCGTGAAGTGTCCGGCATGACCCAGACCCAGAGTGGGCTGGCCATTGCCGCCATTGTGATTGGCATCGTTGCCTTGGCTTGCTCCCTCGCTGCCTGCATCTGCTGCTGCTGCTGCAAGAAGAGGAACCAGACGGTCATGATGCAGATGAAGGCGCCCAATGAGTGCTAACGAGGCAGGCTGAGGCTGGCTGGGAGCGGAGAGGCCCTGGGGCCTGGGGATTCCACCGTCCTGTCCCCTCCCCTGGGTGCACAGAGCCATCCCTGATGACTCCTTCTGGGCCCTGGAGAAAGGTGTCCTCACCTCTTTCTGACCTACCTGATTCTCTGTAGAGAAATAGGTCTTACAGGACCCTCTCATCACCAGGGAGATCCAACTGACCATGGCAACAAGATGGGCGATTTCCAGTTCACATCCATGGGCTTCCTTCGAGAGGGCCCCTCCCTCAACCCTTACCACTTGGCCGAGAACCACCTCCTCTGTGCCCACGCCCCCGGCTGGCCTCTGGAGACTCAGTTATGACAAAGCCTGCTCACTTTGTGGGAATAGTTCTCCATTGGGACAGTCCCTCGCCTTAAAGTATTACGGAAGTTGATTTTCCTTCTTTTGCTTCTCTTGTTTGTGCCATGGCTTGACCCTGGCCCCTCAGATGAAAGTTCTTCCCTTGATTTTCTGCTCCTGAAGGCAGGGTGATTTCTCTCCTCAACGACGGCAGCTCGCTGGTTTCTTAGGAGCTGCTGAGCATCTGGCTTTGAGGAAGCTGTGAAAGGGAAGGAAAAGCCACGCCGCTCAGCGGAGGTCGTGGTCATCAGCGTCTCCCGTGATTTGATCTGGAGAAGGAGGACGGGCACCAGTGCAACAAGTTCAGCCTTTTAGAATGATATTTTCAAATGGCAAACTTAGCTGCAAAATTTTAGCCCTTTAAGGAAGGAAATCATGTAGAATTCCTGACTTCTGAAAACACGGCAATCAGCTCATTGGTACTGGATGGAGAAAGACACCCGGTGCCTCGGGTCCTGGTGTTCACCCCTAGGGTTTTCTTTCTCAACTTGCTATTGAAGTATAACATCCATACGGAGAAGTGGGAGTGCGCTAGGGTGTGGCTTGAATTCTCACAAAGGGAGCACAGCTGTGTCGTCAGAATCCAGATCAAGAAGCAGCCTCGCAGCCTCCCCCACCCTGAGCTCTTACTGGAGAAGACTGAGGCTTCCAGACAGGGCCAGGACTGCCTGGGACCTGGCTTCCTGTGAGGGTGGGTCCTCCTTGCCCACCTGCAACAGGCCTTTGCTCTCAAAGCCCAGTTCCAGGGGTGGAGAAGTACATATGAACAGGACAGGACAATTGTGTTAAATCCTGAGGCCCTGGAGCTGGCCAGAAGCGTCCTGACTGCAGAGGCTCATGAACCACGCCCCTTCCTCACCAGTAAGCTGTCTGCCGCTCAGTGGAGGCCTCTCTGCCTGGGCCTTATATGGGCACAATATGTCTATATCTGTTTTTAATTTTCATTCTCCATTTGGGGGAAGTGAAATAGCTCAGAGATGAGATCCTTTAATTGAACAACCAAATGTAAGGGAATCCAGCAATCCCTCTAATGTCATGGTAAACTCTCCGTCAACACTACAGCACTTACACTTCAGGGTTTTCACACAGCAGGCCATCTCAGGGTACACTGCCGGGTCCCACTGGGCATGGTGCTGTCTGGAGCTCCTCCGGCCTGTAGCCTGCTTATAAAAGCTGAGGTGTTGGGTCAGGATTTTTCTCCTTGCTGAGTTACAGTCATGTACTGCCTGTCTTTACTGCCCTTGGTGCTATGCACACACGCACACAATCAGAGAGTTTGTACTCACAGCAACAGGTATCTTCCTCTGGACAACTGGTCTACCAGTCTAGAAATAAAAACAGTGAGATGGAGAATTGGGGGTCTCTTTGTCTGCCCAGGAAAGAACTTGAGCTGACTCTGTGGGGATTTGGAAATCCACTGCCAGCCCTGACTGGCTTTTATTAATTCCTTCTGCCACACATGACAAGAACACCCCCACCCTTAGCAGCATGCCAACAGGATGGCCAAGTTGGCCTCCTTCAGTCCAGAGAGGGATGTTTGTAAAAACTAGTACTTTCAGCTTCTCACTCTCTGCCCCGGGGGATGTGGGAGAAATGGAGCTTCTCAGACATCAATGTCAGTTCCCCAAGGCAAAATGAGTCTCCAAAGTGCATTCAGAATACCAGCAGCTACTGGTACACATGCACCAAGGCTTGCCAGGCCCCAAAGCAAGTGTGCCCCTAGCTTGGGGCACAAGCATCATTCCACTGAGGGTGGTCTGCTCTGTTGGTCCTGGGGCCAATAGGGGTGCTTGGCCCATCCCCCTTCTGATAGGACACATGGTTTGGCACTGTGGTCCTCATATCCAGGTGCTCCCTGTGAGTGGAGTGTTTCATTATGCACAGGCCCAACTGGCCAAGGTTGAAGAGAGGCAGAATCCTCTTCAGCCAGGGTACTTTGCCAGCCTTAACCCAGAACCCTGGGTATTTCTGGCATAGCCATGACATGGGAGTACCTTCCTCCACGGCCCAAAGCTGGTCTGAGAGCAGCTGTCTCCAGATGACCCCACCCAGGACCATCGCAGTGAGAGGTGTGGACCCTTTACATGGATTTTCTTAGTTGGCCTGTTCCTTTCTTCCATCAAGTGGTTAGGTGAAGGCATGGGGTCATTCTCCATGGCAGGTCTTTCAGCCTCTCTGAACCATGTGGTCTGGCCAAGGAGCTGCCAGGAGAGCTGGGTGGAGGCCCCTTTCCAACAGGGCGGTACATTTGCTCAGTTTTCAGAGCTGGACTGAACGAAAAATTGTACCTTTACAAATATGAGTAGACTTCCCTCTCCGTTCCCTGGCTGCTAGGCCACTGTACCAGTCGCCAGCAGTATGGCCTGGAGTGGGAGGATGAGTCAGTGTTGGAGAAAAGATAATAAAAGCCAGTCAGAAGCACTGCTTTTAAAAAGTGCTGATTGCCCATAGGTACCCTTCGGACCACTGGGCATGCATTCCCGTTTTAACTCTCATGAGACTGCGATGTGAGTACTGCCATTATCCCCTTGTGATAGGGTACGAGACTTCTGGTTCTTTTATGACATTATTCACACGGGATATGAATATGCTATGGGATTATAACTCTCTTTAAACTTCATATGAGTCCTTGTGGCCTGTCATCGTTAAACCCAAGAAAGCAGGAATCGTTCTCCTGTTGCTCCCCATGGCCTTCGTCAATGGAATCACATCTGTCACTGCATGGGTCCAAAGCTTTGTAACTATAGGAAAGAGT